CACTCGCATCAGATATTCCAAATGAAATTTCGCTCCTCCAAACCGTACGATTTTTGTGCACAAATCGCTCCCACACTCAAAAGTTGCTTCAGCCCCCACTCACAACAGAATCCAGCTCACCAATTAGTTGGGGTTTTCTTTTGTATTTTGTAAAGAAAGGTTTGGTTTAGACTTGGGTTAGATGAACCATTTTGTGTGAACACAGCTCAAGAAGTGGTTTTGTGGTTCAATGGTTAGAGAGGAATGAAGTTGGGTGACTCAATAGGCTAAAGATTAAGAATGGCTAGGGTTTGATAGAGCTTGAGAGTGCTTTTCTCCAATTGTATCCAACGCTGTCTTGTCTTTCTTTCTTCCAATTTCTTTTCTTTTGCTTTTCTTCAAATGGGCCTCTAATTTGCATTGCCAAAGTCCAGCCCACTTCTTTTCTTCTCATTTTCTTTTCTTCTCTTTCTTCTTTCTTTCTTTTGGAAAATGTTAATAGATGGGCCCGAAAATAGAATTGCAGCCCATTAGCTCTTAAATTAATATCATTTCAGCTTTAGTAATTGGGGTATCTATTAACACAAAAAGTATATATTTCTTTCCATTTTCATACTAAAAACCATATGTTTTAAGTCTCATTTCATGGACTTATCATATCCCTTGCAACTACATAATATATTACTTAACCTATGTAATTTTAAACTTATTAACAAGACCCATTGTAATTACTAAATACACAAATATATCACTTAATTCCTTTTTGTTTCAAACTATCACCAATTTCGCCTGTTATACTTATAAAAATGTATCAGTGAGACCCCTTATAATCTTATACATATAATTTTTTATTTTCCTTAATTTTTATCCTATGTTATATATTTTGATATCATCAATTAAAAACCATACTGTAGTATACTTACGAGTTCAACCGTTTGAATCAATTATTTGAATTAGAAGATATCAACAAAATCATTTACATCCAAAATATAAAATATAATGTTATCAAAAAAATATATATATATAAAATATAAAAAAATTTATGATATAAAGAATAACATGGGTTTATTGTTTATCATGTTGTAGGAGATAAATTTATCTTCTATTTACACGTAAAAGTGTGTAGGGCTCGTATGGGTCCATGTAAGAATAAGAAAGAGAAAGAAAATATGATTCTCGCACATTTTTATATGTAAGTAGGAGATAAATTTATCTCCTACAATGAGAAACATTATATCTATAAAGAATAACTTTTAGCTGTTATAAAATAATAATTCATGTTTAACTGGTTCAATTGTGTTTTGACTGATTTAGACTAATATTACATGGTTTAACGAATTAACGGTAAACCCGATTATAAGACTTAATTCTATCAGACTTAATTTTAAGTGTTTGAATTAGACTTAATTCGACCAGTCTTATCCAATTGTGTTTGAAGAGACAATGAGAGATGCGAGAGGTTTAGCATATTGTAGAAGAATAATTCGATTTGTCATTTTTGTATGGGCCACCTATTCATATGATATACCAACGACAACCGATCACAACCTTTATAATACGGAAAAGAAAAACGAAGTGAAGTAGTTATAACCTGATTTTCCTTAATTTAATTTAAATTTTTTTATTATTATAATTTAATTTTTATTTTGAGTTAATCCAACTCTAATTATTTCTTTCAGGCAAGTTGGCTTCACCCGGTATCTCCATAAACTTCGGTTATGGAAATAATGCGGAATACATGGCAGTTCAAGAATGGAGATATTTAAAGTTTAAACTCCTTCCAAAGGTAGCATGTGGGAATCGAACCAAAACCCTTTCTTTTCCACTTACTCAGCTCTCTTGCTACCAACTGAGCTACCATCATTTGGTTTGTAATTTAAATATAATGAATCATTTAAAGAAGGGATTAACATTTCTCTAGGAAATAAAGTTATCTCTTACAATTCTAAAACGATATCGTTTTGAGGTTTAGAAAAAGGAAATATAAAGTATTTTGATAAAATTTATGATATTATGGGAAAATAAAATTTTAAAATAACATGTATTATTTTTTCTAAATCTCAAAACGATATTATTTTGAGGTTGCAATTGCAAGTAGAAGTGTAAATGGGTTAGATCGGCCTATAAAGACCTATGGCCTAGCCTGTATCAAGTCAGGTTTGGTCTATTGTGTATAATCAAATAGAGCACGTTTAGGCTTTTAGAAAAATTATTTAGAAAATAGGTTGTAGGTTTTTTTTACATGCCAGGCCTTTAAGTCTACAAGATGACTTATATCATATTATTTATTTTAAATTAAATAAATAAAATTATTATTTTAATAATTTTGAATAATAAAGTAATATTATTTTAGTTAATTTTTTAATAATTAAATGTTTAATATGCTTAAACAAGCTAATAGGCTTAGGCCTAGGCGAAGGCTTTTTATTTTTTAAATATAGGTTAGGGCATACTTATAACTAAGACCTACATAAGGCTAACATGTCAAGTTAGGTCTAAAGTATTTTATACAGGTCTAACCTATTTAAGACAAAATCTAGCTTACCCTAACTTATTTACATCCTTAATTGTAAGAGATAAAATCATTTCATATTACGGGAGAAAAAAAATTCTTCAAAAATACGTCTTATTTATTTATTTTAGAAATAAACTTAAAAAAAAAGTACATGTGACAGATATTAGCAATTAATGTGCCACTCCTCCACCACATGCATGGTGATCTGTACATGGGGAGTTAAGTTGTGTTATTATTATTATTTTTGAAGAGTGTGAATGGACAAATAAAAAAAAATATTTATACGATTTAACTTTTCTGCTAGTACTTTTTTTAGTTTTTAAGAAACTATTTATTTAAAATTGGTCTTTATATTGGTTATGTGACAGAAATGTACAGTGCATTTCTTGCACACAAAGAAAAGCAGAGAGAGAAAATAAAACGAAGAGAGAGAAATGAAAATTTGTGGGTGTTTGTGCAGGAAATGCACTGTGCTTTTTTTAAGAAACTACTTATTTAAAATTACGGGAAAAATAGGGGAGAACATTTTAGGCTTTTATTTTGTTTAACCTTTTTTTTGTGAGCTTTTGTTTAACTTATTTAATTATTAGATAAATTTAAACATATTTTTAATTAAAAAAACACTGTTTCCCCTTAAAAATACGTACACAAATAAACAGCTTAGAATTTGATAGGAGACTTTTGAATTGCAAATTTTCGAACAAAGAAAACAATAGATAGAAAGAGAAAATAATTAAGCTAAATACCAAAAAAAAAAAAAAAGAATTAAGCTGAGATTCTAGTTAAATACCTAACTCTCGCTAATGGAATCCTCTTAATTTGACAGCTTCAACTGGGATGGTATTAAGGCATTTTCTTTTTCAAATTTCTTCTCCACTACTTCATCCATTACTTGATTAATGTTTCGTTAGTTACATATTGTAACATTCCGGGCGCTGACGAGGGCGGGGAGTGATCGTCAGTGCGAAAGGGCATGGACAAGGAGCGGCTCCTGGCAGGTCTATAGGGACGGGGGTATATGAATGAATCGAATCAACACCCGAAAGAGAGGGATTCCAGAGACTGTGCTGGTATGGGACAGTACAATTGGGAATGACTTATAAGAATTAATTGGTACTACCTATACTAACAAGATGCATCTAATTTTCGGTAGCCCGGATCGGAAGAACTCCACAGTTAAGCGTGCTTGACTTGGAGCAATTCTGGGATGGGTGACCTCTTGGGAAGTTTTCCCGGGAAATGTGCGAGTGAGGACAAAACACACTGAAAAGTCTCGTGTTAGTGTGTGGGGACAGTCATTGATTCTTGCAAGTGGCCGGGCGTTACAAGTGGTATCAGAGCCGAGCCTCTCTTCCAGTACGGTGTGGTTCGAGGACGAACCAGGCAGACCATGGTGGGCATGTAACATCCCAAGCGCTGACGAGGGCGGGAAGTGATCGCCGGTGCAAAGAGACATGGACAAGGAGCGGCTCCTGACAGGCTTCCAGTGTGGGGTTACATGCATGAATGAATCGAATCGACACTCGAAAGAGAGGAATTCCAAAGACTGTGCAGGTATGAGATTGCACGGTTTGGGATAGCTTATAAGAATTAATTGGTACTACCTATACTAACAAGATACATCTTCTTTTCGGTAGCCCGGAACGAAAGAACTCCACAGTTAAGCGTGCTTGACTTGGAGCAATTCTGGGATGGGTGACCTCCTGGGAAGTTTTCCCGGAAAGTGTGCGAGTGAGAAAAAAACACACTGAAAAGTCTCGTATTAATATGTAGAGATAGTGATTGATTCTTGAAGCGGCCGGGTGTTACACATGTTAAAAGCAACTCTTTTAATAAAATTTTCTTTATTCTCTAAGACTCAGTATCGATCCAAAAACTTAATCTCTTAGGTGTGCAAGTGTCCTTATCTTCCAACTCCAAACCATAAAGATTGTTCATCTTAAGGACAGTTCTATAATTTGTTAGGTGTGCAACTGTCCTTATCTTCCAACTCCAAAACCATAATTTGTTGAGTGTGCAAACATCATTTCTCTCACAAGATAAGGACAGTTTTATGTCTTATTTAAATTTATACAATGTACTGCTATATATATATATATATATATATATATATATATATATATATATATATGGGCTTTATTAATCTCATGTGACATAAGAGAAGCTCTTTTATGTCATAGAGATAGTTATGAGTGGGACCCACTCACTTAAAGAAAAGAAAAAAAGAAAAAAAAGTATCACGGAAGTCGATGTATGTGTAGGAGAGAAAAATACTCTCCTACAGCATAAGATAATATTTTCCTTATATATATATATATATATATATATATATAGGGTAATACTTTTGTTATGTTACATAAGAAAAGTATTATCTCCTACACTCACATTTTTTAAATGGGTTTCATAAGGATTTTTTTTTCTCACTTCCAACTCTTTTCTCTCTCCTGTGTAACATAAGAAAAGTATTACCCGTATATATATATCATCATTCTGGGCTAGCCTCATTGAAGTCCCACATCAAGTCTCTCATTAACACACAAACAATAGCATAATGGACAATTTCTATGAAGAGCTTCAAGAGCCAGTGAGTCCTCCAGGACAATATTTCAGCAGCTCAGTGTTTTGTTCCTATGTTTTTAGCTTTCTGGAAATAGCAATTCCAATTGATGACTTACCAGCTATAACTTTGCTTAAGGATGTCTTCCTCCCTATCAACCCACGCTTCTCCTCTATCATGGTACTACGTTTGCATTTTATCTAAAACTACCAAAAAATTTCATAAAGCTACTTGACAATTCATCATATTGACCATTTCTTAATTTTTATTATTCAATTGAGTGTTTTACCACAGGTCAGAGACAGAGATGGTAAAATGAGATGGAAACGGGTTGAAGTGAAGCCTGAAGAGCATGTAAAGATTCCAATATTTCCTGAAAACACTTCATCTGAATTATATGACCAATATCTTAGTGACTATGTGTCAAGGATTCTAACAGAAAGAACACCTCAAAACAAACCACTGTGGGAAGTCCATGTCATCAAGTATCCAACAAGCAATGCTGCTGGCACCATAATTTTCAAACTTCATCATGCGCTTGGAGATGGTTATTCCCTCATGAGTGCTCTTCTTTCTTGTTTACAAAGAGCTGATGACCCTTCTCTTCCACTATCTTTTCCTTCAAGAACACAATCACATTCACAATATGCAAAGAAAAGCTTGTTTAAGAAGTTACCTTCAGTTATCTCCTCCTTTTTTAGCTCCATATCAGATTTTGGGTCCAGCTTAATGAAGGCAAAAATGACTAAAGATGACATAACACCCATAAGGTCTGGATATGAAGGAACTGACTCTCAGCCTTTTACCTTGTCAAGCATATCATTATCTCTTGATCATATCAAAGGAATCAAGTCAAAGCTTGGAGTGGTAAGATTAGCTAGATCAAGCTACGTTAATTTTGTCGACGGATTAAACTAGGTTAATTATTATTATTATTATTACTATAGGTTTTTGATCGGCCACACAAGCTCAGTCCACTAGGCGGCTACTAAAATTCATATTAAAGATTACCTATCTCAATCTTTAAAGTGAGACAAATATTATTTTAATACTAATCTCATTCCGCGTGCACATGCACCAAATGAGAATGCTTGCTTTACACCTAGTGGGGCCATAAGCTATGGCTTACTCTTTCTTACGATTGGAGAATCTTTTTCGCGCACACACACATAATTATAATTATGTAATAATACTCATAATACGTAATTAAAAAAGTAACTTGAAATAAGCTTATATCAAGTAGTAAGAAATGTTAACCCCTCTATGTATATATATGGAATAGGATATGTTTACAAATTTTTTTTTCAAATTACTTTAAGTACAACCGGTCGTACATTGCATGATTAAAGTATGACCGGTCATACTTAGTGTAGTTTGTAAGAGTTTGTAAACAAAAAAATTTGTAAATATATCCGCAATGTATTCCTTTCTTTAGCGCCATTGAAGAGACAAGTTTTGCACACTCATTTACTTTGCTGTTACCTCTGTTATAGAGCCACAAAAGCCATCGTTCCCAACTCATCCCCTTGATTCTCAGCCACTTGCGGTGACTCTTGTTTTGAGTTTAGGTCTATATCTCTGTCTCACTATATTCCATTAACATACTACACTTCTAAAGTCAAACATACCGATTTCTGCTACTCAAACAGTTTAGTACAAATGCAGACAATAAATGATGTGATTTCCGGGATCGTCTTCTATGGGATTCGGCTTTACATGCAAGAGATTAACAAGAAGACAAAATCTTCCAATTCCACAGCTGTGGTAATGCTCAATACAAGAAATATTAGAGCTTACCAATCAGTCAAGGAAATGCAAAAACCTGAGGCCAAAGGTCTTTGGGGGAATAAAATTTCTTTCTTGCAAGTAGCAATACCTAAGCTAAGCCAATCAAGAATCTCCAACCCTCTTGAGTTTGTTTGGAATGCCCGTAAACTAATCAAGAGGAAGAGACGTTCTTTCAGTGTTTATCTCATAGGTTTGTTCTTGGATCTTGAGATGAAATTAAGAGGACCCGAGGTACGTATTTATGTGTAATTTAATTTATTATATTAATTGGTTCAGAGAGTCAGCCTTTTTAGTAAGGTATACAGCTTCTCTGCTTTATTCTGTTCAATTTCTCTGATTTATTGTATTGGTGTTTTAGGCTGTAGGTAAAACACTCTACAACACTCTTGGGAACTCTAGTATTGTTATCTCAAACATACTTGGGCCAGTAGAACAAATGGCTTTGGCAAATCATCCTATAAAAGGCTTGTATTTCACCATGACTGGTGGACCTCAGGTATCTTTCTTTTTTAAAGTTTCATTATATTCTCTTTGCTCTTGTTTTCACTAGACACTTTCTTTTCTTGGCAACACTTGTTGAAAGAGTAACAAGTTTGGCTACGACCTCTGATATATAGTCGATAACATGCTTACTCGTATGATTGCAGAATGTAAACATTACAATTATGAGCTATGAGAGAGTATTAAGAATCACCTTGAGAACACTAAAGGGATTCATAGATGAACAGAAATTCAAGGGCTTTGTGGAGAAGGCCTTTGAAGACATATTCAAGGAAGCTATGGAGATCTCCGAGATACCCAACAAAAATTAATTGGGACATATTCATACATAATTCTACGTACAGATATATGTTGAAGCGAGATTTGGGATGCAAATAACAGGATATTAATCATTAATCCAGAGAGAGTCACATTAATAATACATAGCTGCTTAATTATTGTAATTGAGTTTTAGAATAAGAATGTGTCTTTTAGACAAGGAAGATGGAGAAATCCAGTGTAGCTTCTCTAAAATACAGTTTCTATCACTTTCCAAAAACTTGCTCCGTACAATATTGTTTATTTTAGTGTGGAAATTTTCTATTTAAATGAAACAATTTTACATTTTATTTAGTCAAGTGTATGTATTATGGCTGAGATCATGAGATGTTGTTTTTACTCAAATATTTATAGAATAATTCATTTCCTTCCTGTTAATCGCACCAATCTTTGTCGTGACTCATTTGCATTGTTTCCATTACTCCTCTTTTTTATATGTTATAATTATACAAAATTGATATCTATCACAATTAGAGAGGATTACAATTTTGTTTGATCAATTGAACCAAATTGGGTTTGAGATTTTTCAGCGTGCTAGTGGTACTTGGATTTCTAGAGTGAAGAATAAAAGTTGTAATTGGGAAAATATAAAATTATTATATGAGACAACGTGTTATAGATAGCAATGTTTTTATATGAACTGAACTCAAAAAAAATGAAAAACTAAAATTAGGTAATTGGTAATTTGTAATTGAAATAGAGAATGCTTCGGTCCATATCCACGACGATGGTTTGTGGAAGTGAACTACTAACATTTTGGTTCAGGTGAGAAAATACGTGCTTTGTTACTAACAACTTTCATTTTGTAAACTTATTATCGAAGAGGAGTTTATAATGTAGACAATATACTAGTAATAATTACTTTCAAATATGTCATAAGCATTTTTACTTTTGCAAAATCATGGATGGCTCAGTGTGGTTGTGTCACAGACGCCAAATATATATATATATATGGCTTTTTGATCGTACTAAGTTCATTTTTAAAAAGTTTGACTAGATTAATTTATTAGTCAAATTTTTTACCATATTAATACATTACGACACGGTACTAATGTCACTGAATTCAGACATGGTATGTTAGATATCACATTTGGTATCAAGTATTATGTCGCGTCTGAACGTGGTAGTATGGGTACTACGTCTGAACGTGGTAGTTTGGGTACCACGTCTAGTGTTGGGACAACCAAAAGCGTCTTTGTTGTGCGTCAATATATACCCTCTCCCTCAAACGAGATCAACTCACAAATTCTTTTTTCTTTGACGTAATTTTTGCTCACTGCTAACTTACCTAATAATTTCTCTTCTTCCAATAATTTTGTTTTAAGTTCAAATTTCTTCTTCAAATACGTAATTTTTGCTCACTTACCTATTGATTTCTCTTCTTCCAATAATTTGTTTTAAGTTCAACTATCTTCTTCTTCAATAGCCACTTTCTTCTTCCAACTATGATGAGTTAGTTGTTGAGACAAACTCCTGTTGATAACATGTTATAAAACTAAAAGAGAAAGTAGAGAAATGTTATAAAACTTAGAGAGAAAATACGAAATATATATTTAATTTTTTGGAAACAAAGAAAATAGGAAATATATATATATATATATATATATATATATATATATATAATTTTGGAAACAGAGAAAATAGGAAATAGGAAATATGAAATATGAAATATGAAATAGAGGGAGAGAGTAGGAGAATATCACCAATTCTTGTTCTATTTCTTTTCAAAGTTCATGCCATTATATAGGACTCCAAGAATGAATATGGAGACTAATTACACATCAATGCACCATTATGCTTATATTGTTACAATTCATACCAAAGGTCATAGTGTAAGAACCTGCACCGCTAAATAATTAATAAAATAACATTATCGATGCCGGAGCATGGATTTGATAAAGATTCACTACTAGAAAAGTCTAAATTTTCGACGGAAATTTTCGACGGAATTCATTTTACGTCGAAAATTTTCGACGAAAAAACAATTCTGTCAAAATTATTATGTAAAATAAATAAAAAAGAAAATAAATTTATGAATTTTCGACGGAATACAATTTCCGTCGAAAATTATTATATAAAATAAATAAAAAAGAAATAATATTTATGAATGTTCGACGGAATTAAATTTCCGTCGAAAACCATTATATAAAAAAAATAAAAAATAAATTATATAATTGAGTTTGCGACGGAATTAAATTTCCGTCGGAAACCATTATATAAAAATAAATAAAAAAGAAATTATATTTATGAATTTTTGACGGAATTCTATTTCTGTCGAAAATCATTATATAAAAATAAATCAAAAAAATTATATTTATGATTTTTCAACGGAATTCGATTTCCATCGAAAACCATTATATAAAAATAAATAAAAAAGAAATTATATTTATGAGTTTTTGACGGAATTCTATTTCAGTCGAAAACTATTATATAAAAATAAATCAAAAAGAAATTATATTTATGATTTTTCAACGGAATTCGATTTCCGTCGAAAACCATTATATAAAAATAAATAAAAAAGAAATTAAATTTATGATTTTTCGATAGAATTCGATTTCCAAAAAGAAATTATATTTATGAGTTTTCGAAGGAATTTGATTTCCGTCAAAAAACATTACACAAAAATAATTCAAAAAGAGAAATTTTCAACGGAATTCAATTTCCGTCGAAAACCATTACATAAAATTAAATAAAAAAGAAATTCATTTTATGAATTTTTCGACGGAATTCGTTTTCCGTCGAAAACCATTATATAAAATTAATAAAAAAGAAATTCAATTTACGAATTTTTTGACGGAATTCGTTTTCCGTCGAAAACTATTATACAAAAATAAATCAAAAAGAAATTATATTTATGAATTTTTCGACGGAATTTGTTTTCCGTCGAAAATCTTCGACGGAAAATGAATTCTGTCGAAAATGATTAAAAAAATAAATCAATAAAGAAATTATGTTTTTGAGATTTTCGATGGAATTCATATTGCGTCGAAGATTTCCGACGGAAAAATAATTCCGTCGAAAAACATTAGAAAATTAATAAATGGAAAAATAAATTATATTTATGAGTTTTTCGACGGAATTCATATTCCGTCGAAAACCATTAGAAAAAAATAAATCAAAAACGAAATTATATTTATGAATTTTTTGACGGAATTCATATTCCGTCGAAGATTTTCTACGGAAAAAGAATTCCGTTGAAAATTATTAGAAAAAAATAAATCAAAAACGAAATTATATTTATGAATTTTTCGACGGAATTCATATTCCGTCGAAGATTTTCGACGAAAAAGGAATTCCGTCGAAAACCATTAGAAAAAATAAATCAAAAAAGAAATTATATTTATGAATTTTTCGACGGATAAATAATTCTGTCGATAACCGTAAAAAAAATATTTAAAAGAAGAGGAAAAATGGGTGCTATTAAACGAATTTTATTTTTTCTTTTGCGGTCTTTATTTTTTGGTAAATTATGTAATACTTGATTTGAATCTCTGCAATTCAAAATAAATATTTTTTTTGGTTGATTATAACGTTCCTGCAGTATTAAATTAAATCGATGTTTTTTTCTTATTCTATTTCAAGGATTTTTGCATCTTCAGGGACATAAGAGTACTCTATTAGGTTTTCTATTTTTGAGGAGATCTTCGAGGGAATGTGTTTAGGAAGGGACAAGGAAGATTGTAGCATAATAGGCTGGGAGTTATTAGGGTTTGTGTTATCCATGGTTTGAGAAGTTTGTCTCCTACTCACCTCATATAATATCATTACTATATTTACCCTCTCTCTGGAAGAAACTCAAAGAGTTTCCTTTAAGCTGCCACCATCGGGCAGGGAGCCTGTCATCGGAGATGACACAGAGGTAGGCTGTGATACCAAGTGTTCTTAAAATATAACAATGTTTAATTATATTCTAAATCAGAATTTGAATTTGAACAAAATATATAAATAAATTATTGATAGGAATTTAATAATGCATTTTATAAATTATCAATTATTTAATATTATGTAAAATATTACAAATTTATAATTAACACATAATATAATTATTGATAAATTTGTATATGAACTCAAAATTAATTAATATTATTAGCAAAATATTTATAATTAGCATAAAATATATCATTTAATTTTTATTTTATATTTTAATATTTTTTACTCTTTGTTACCTTTCCTCTTTGTTACCTTTCCTCTTAACCCCAATTATTTCCCTCTCTTTTAATTTTTCGCAATCTAAAAGGTCCCGCTTTTTTTATAAGTTATCTATGCCTTCTTTTTTATTTCTCATTCATCGTGGTCTTCTTCTCTATTTCTCTGACACCCAAATCCCTCTTCAACCACGTCGCTCCATTTCCCGATTCCGGCGACCACCTTTACTCCGCCGCCAACCTCCTCCTTCAAAGCCGCCAGAAGCTCCGCCCTATCAGGTCCAACGGAGGCCCACCTCCCTCCGGTTTCCATCCCTGCTCCGATTCAACTCAGCATCCGGGTCACCCTCTAGAACCATCGCTCCAGATGCAGGTCGGGTCATGCCCCGTTTCCCTCGGGGCAGGAATCTGGGTGAGTTCATTTCGTTCCTCCAATCCCTCGAGTTTCATTTTTTTGTCGCTAGTTGCCGAAGTTTATAACTTTTGATTATTCGAATATCAATGATTATTGTAAAACTGGCTTTGACTTTGGTAAATGGCGAGTAATAGCATGCTTACTTTTGAGTACTATGGGTCCCAATTCCTTTGTGTACTTGGGTTTTCACCTGAATAGCTATAGCTCCCTGCCTTCCGGAGCGTCAATCTCTCTAATTTAATGGTTCTCCAAACACAAGACTCGTGAAGTTAAGGTTGCTGGTGGTTTTCATGCGCACCAAGACTTTTTCATTTTCAGATACATATGGGTAAGAGGTTAAGAGTCCTCCCAATCCATAGTCCACAATTTCTGTTGCAACAATATCGAAACAAAAATACATCGAGTTTTTCTTTTCTTTTTTTCCTATTAATAGATATACCAGTATGTTATTTGCTTCGAAATGTGATTTCTTATATCATCTAGCTGCAAAGCTATAGTTAATAATATTTTTTAAAGCTTATATAATTTAATCATTTAATGTAACCAAATTTTATCATGTTAATTTCTTTTCGGTACATAATGTTGCTTTAATGATGACCCCATTTAATTTATACCTATTTGATGCAGATGCACACAGTCTAGTTGACGTTGTTAAAATGGATTAGGACAAAGGGGTTGAGGATATGGGATAAGAACTTTGGCTATTTAATATCAGTGGCTGTTAACCCAAAGCAATCTTGGGATTCTCCCTGTCATTCGTGTCAAAGTTTCTAATTGAAGCCTGATATTCAATTATTTGGATGATGAAGTAATAGGTAAGGAAAAGGGACCTTTAACAAATGTATATATCTCTGTCAATGTCGGTTTTTAAATTATTGTAAAAGCCACCCAGTCGTATAGTTCTAGTCTTAATTTTGTTATTTGATGAATTCACTATATTATATTCTTCTTTCTTTATTTTTCTTTTATTTTTTTGTGAAATTCTCCTGTGTCATTCCCACCTCAAAGATGCAACACTGCCTCTGTTGTGACCTTCTGTACAATGGTCACAGTATTAGCATACATCCTTTCAACTTTCATATTAATTTAATGATTTTACCTTTCAAAAACACTTTTGTTCCTTTACAATATTAGTATAACCATTGGTTTAAATGCTTCTATCCATAACCTCGTTGCTTGGGCTATTAAAAACAATCGACATACTTGTTTATTATATTGGACCCTTCTCTTTCATTTTGGGATCACAGTATTTTTACTTTGTTTTTTTGTGCATGTGATGGTTAATAATCTAGTATGCTTTGGAATTAACACAGTTGTTTTCTTTTTTCTTCCATCATGCAACTAAATTTCCATTGTCACTTCACTTTTTGACATTTAGTTTATTGGTTTAGAATATAACAATTTTGAGGACGAGGAATGAGGACTCTAGAAGAAATTCAATTGGAGCTTAACGCATTACAAAGCACAAAGTAAGTAGCTTCAGTTAATATCTACTAGTTACTAACATGGCCAAGTTTATGATCTATGGGCTTTACTTGGTTTGATATTGCTTATTCTTAACATTATTTCCATGCATATCTTGGTTAAAGGGACAATTTTTTTATTACTTTCTACTCTTCAGTATGAAAAATTTGTTTTCTCACCATCATGAATATCATTCCCACGGTCTCCTATCATTCCCATCACACTAATGAAGTCACATATCTCACCCTTGCATGTCACCCACTTGTCCACCGCACTCTCAACCCCTAGCTTGCATGGAATACATTTGGCCACTTAGATGACACATTGCAAACCTACCAAAATTCAGTCAAACCCATCTTGACCATGATTCCCACTTGATTAAGTTCCTATTGGTGAACTTAACTGTAGACCACTTAGAATATAAATAATTCTTTAAGGGAAATATAGATCTTTTATATATATATATATATATATATATATATATATATATATATATATATATATATATATAGTATATAACTAAATATTATAGTATATAATGACTTGGTTGTTGCCTGCATTTATTTTGGGTTCTTGTCGAGTTAAGTGTTGTTTTTTTTTGGGTCCTATTGGGTGTTGTTTTTTTTAGGTCCTATTGGGTGTTGTTTTTTTGGGTCCTCTTGGGCTCTTTATTGGGAATGGTTTGACTTGTTGCCTATTTCTATCTCCCTTTTCTTCGTGCAAGAAACAGGGCTGAGGCTCAAAAGAAAAGTAATAAGATAATCTAAAACATTACAAACAATGGGCAATATATATATATATATATATATATATATATATATATATATATATATATACCAACGACTTTCAACCTATATGTTTGGGAAGTTTATTTCTACATGAAGGTGTTTTCTTCTTACCTGAACTTCCTTTTATATGGCATTATTTTATGCTAGAATTCTCTGAGAGCCTTTTTCTTAGCATAATTGTGGGAGGAGCCTAAATATTGCTTTAACATTTGAATATTTCAATATAGAATTACATTTCTGTTATTTTGATCAAAATTAGAATATTTAGGGATTCATTATGATGTGATTTTATTAATCAGGAACTTCCCCCACCACGGACAGTTTCAAATTGTTTTATAATGCTCCTGATGAAGAAGATGGTCAGAGACAGAGAAAAATGCCAAGGAGGGTTCAAGTCAAGTCGAACCTTGATCAGAGAGAAATATTTCAAGTTCACTCACTTAAAATCATTATTCATGTGTATGAAGACGAGGCTTCTGATTCCAAGTTTGCAAAGCTTAGCACTCTTAGGTTTGGGTACTTGGTGAAGTTGAATATTATATGTATTGTAAAAGAAGGATTGTGTATTGATATGAAGTTCAAAAATGATTTAGAGGAAATTGTTTCTTGAATTATGAAGTCATTTTTACATTGTGTATTGATGTGTTAATTTTGTTTTAATTTTATACATGTTACAATATATACTAATTGTACATTGCTCGTTAATTGTACAAGCCCTTTTTTATACTTAGCCTAATCTATGATATGGACTTTTGTGCATTTATTGTATTCATTAAGAAGATTTTATTTTGATATGTTATTTACTTTGATTATATTTTTTATCAGGTAAATTATAGAAATTGGTATTAATTTTGTAAAGAGAATTTTTTAAAAAAAAATTCTATACTTTTCGACGGAATCCAGTTTCCGTCGAAAACACTTACAACAATTTTCGACGGAATTTCATTGATTTTCTGTTGAAATTTTTTGACGGAATCCATTTTCCGTCGAAAATAATTACAACAATTTTTGACGAAATTTCATTGCTTTTCCGTCGAAATTTTTTGACGGAATCAGTTTTCCGTCGAAAACCATTACAACAGTTTTCGACGGAATTTCATTACTTTTCCGTCGAAATTTTTTGATGGAATCAGTTTTCCGTCGAAAACCATTACAACAATTTTCGACAGAATTTCATTGCTTTTCCGTCGAAATTTTTTGACGGAATCAGTTTTCCGTCAAAAACCATTACAACAATTTTCGACGGAATTTCATTCGTTTTCCGTCGAATTTTTTGGACGGAATCAGTTTTCCGTCGAAAATCATTACAACAATTTTCGACGGAATTTCATTCATTTTCCGTCGAAAATTTTCGACGGAATTATTTTTTCGTCGAAATTTCCCACAGAAACTATTCCGTCGAAATTTTCGACAGAATCTTTAATTCCGTCGAAAAAATTGTTACCCACGAAGATATATTCGACGTCTTCAATTCCATCGAAAATTCCGTCGAAAACATCATTTTCGATGGAATTTTAACCATTTTCGACGGAATTTTTCCGTCTAAAAAAAAACATTTTCTAGTAGTGATTATGCATAATTCGTGGCCGTGTGGTGACAAAACTGTAGCTTTTCTGATGAAAAGTGCAAATACTGATTTTGTTTCGCGGTATAAATGCGTATCGGTGAAGTGTTCCAAAAATTTATAATAAAAATATGTAAATTTCTAGAAAAATGTCTAGATCAAGAATATAAAGTTTGGAAGAAAAATAATTAGTAGAGCTATTACAATTAATATCGATGGATTAATTAAGTGTACCTATAAATAGAAAGGCACATAAACCTAGGTCAAATTTCTACAAGTCTCTACGTAGACCATTCCACTCCCTCACGGCTACCACCTTCTCCTACACAACTCCATAGCCTCCCTTGCATGAAAACCATCCAAGATACCACTTTTCCACTTGATTCTTTCTCTCTAATCATGTAAATATTTGAGAGCAAATTTGGTGAGGGAGAAAAATCACTTCTTGAGAAGGTGGGGTTTCTGTTGTGGGTGTTGAGAGGCTGACTTCTTGGTGTGAGTAAATGGGAGCCATTTTCCTTGCATTTGGTGCTTCAAGAAGCATTTTGGGGAGGAAAGTACCAAGCTTGTGAGACAAATTCGTGGCCGTGTGGTGACAAAACTGTAGAGTGGTATAAGGAGCTCCAAGATCACCTCTTTTCTCTGTTTTGGAAGCTTGGGTATATGCTTCAACCTTTCCATTTGAATTTTTATGTTAAAAATTAAGCCTTGGCATGTTAAATATGAAGAATAAGTAACCAACATGATCATTAGCTTAAATGTGCTTAAAAATGGTAGTTTGAATGTCTGTAAGTGTTAAAAATGGAATCTTGAAAGGATATCTTCGCGAAAAGGCAAAACTGCATTATGTCGCGAAATATCCAGATATATCCCCAAGGAATATCTGGATATTCTGGGAAATTCATGTTTTAAGCTATTTTGCCCAAACAGAAGCCTGGGTTAAGTTTCTGGACCCTTAATTGGTTAGTATGAACCTCTGTAATAAATTAACTAAGTCAGAACCCATGATATTGAATGCTTATGGCTTTGAGAGCCTAAGGTCATTAAACGAAAAAGAAAATGTTGTCCTAATGCAATGAAATTCTAAACTATGAATATTGATGATGTGAATGTTATGAAAATAGATTTATGACCTTGTTGGATACTGTTATTACTTGTGACCCTCTGGACACCGAGTCGTGAGGGAGGATTTAGCTGGACAGTTAAGCTTCTGGTCCTTGAATTGATCTGTTGCTTGTTCCACTGACCTCCATAGGAGGGTGGTTTATGTGCATGGTATGCTTTTATGAAAATGATATGTGGATATGCTTGTTGATGTAATGTATGGATGTGATGTTAGGTACTTACACGATCAGGCAGCGACCCTGGTGTGTAAAGCATGAGGCAACGACCCTCATGTTTAGGTAAGTAGCAGACGTGTGTGATTCCTATCCTGTTCTCTGGCCAGTTGAACCGCACTTTCATACATCACATGATATATGAATTGTAGTACATGATTTTTGGAGGATTTAGATATATTGTCTCGATTATATTGCTTTAACATGAACATGCATTGTATTTAGTGTTTTGAACTTATTATATACTTGTAAGTGAGCTTGGGGCGGAAGATTCCTTGAGGACCCCTTGTCTTACTGAGTTTCTTGTTAAAGATCCCACCCTGTGTAGGGCACATTTTCAGGTACAGGTGTTCCTGAGGTTGAGACCTCTAGCAGTAGGAGGCCAGAGTTGAGTTGAGATGATGTATGCTTCTTTGTTTCTATAGATGGATATCATGTTGCCTTGTTATTTATATATGTCGTTATTGTACTTGAGACATGAATTGACTATGTTGTTTTATTTGAATAATTTGTGTTTATTCGTACTGGAGTTGTATTATTGTATCTGGATATGTCTGGTCTACGTGTGGTAGTTCCATGACTTTATACATTATCTATGTTACGAGGTCATTCAGTTTAGTTATTTATTGCAATTTACATACTGGCGGTTTAAAAAAAATAATAAGCAACATCACTTGGCTAATATGATAAGATTCATAATTGGAAATTTTTTGCTTCCGCATTTATTGAGCTGCACTTATTACCATTTATATGTTCAATACACCGGGTGCACACGGGGTGTTACATTTTATTGTATCAGAGTACTTTCTAGGGAAAAATCATGTATGTATTGCAATAACTTAAGATGCTTTGTCTTTCTGAATTGTCTTGTGAGTTTCTGTTAGCTTTTGCTATGATAATGCATGTGTGACCACATTGTGTGGGTCTGATCAACTCATCCTTTGTGTAAAAAGTGCAGAGTTATGGCACCTCCTAGGAGAACTCGGGAGACGAACAAAGGTCCAGCCCGATCCTATCCTGACTGCATTAGCTGAGATGCAGTCGGCTAGACAAGCCGATCAGGAGGCCATTAGAGCGGCCAACCAGCCTATATTGGATGTCGTGAAAGAGGCGAATAGGAAACCTACTGAGGACGTGCTTGAGGGGAACCGACTAGCGAACATGACCATGATGAGGGTCATGTTGGAGGAGATGAGGACTGGTCGTAATGATGGCCAGTTTTCTCCACCACCACCTCCACCGCCACTGCCACCACCGCCTCCACCTCATCACCAGGAGGAGAATGGAGGAGGAGGGACACACATTCCTGATGATGATGGTCTGAGCCACATGGAGGGTGTGAGTCACCTTACGTGCATGATGCAGCCCTACTATGAGCCAGTAGAGGATCAAGAGACCATAGATCATCGGCTTAATGCCTTCCGCAAGCATAAGCCACCTTCATTTGATGGATCCTATGATCCAATTGTTGCTGCTAGATGACTTTAGTCTTTGGACAAGATCTTCAGAGTTATGCAGTGCACCGACCCACAAAAGCTGTTGTTTGCTACTTACATGCTAGAGGGGGATGCACATGAGTGGTGGGTGAATACCTCTAAGGCATATGACATGCAGGGCCAGATTATTACTTGGCTATTCTTTAAGGAGCTATTTCTGGAAAATTATTTCCCATATAATGCCATAGAGCGCAAGCAATGAGTTTGAGCGCCTAGTACAGGGCTCAATGACTGTGGACGAGTATCTGGCTAAGTTCAATGAGCTAGCCAAATTTGCACATTTTTGGACTGTTAGACCTACACTAGAGTTTTTTGCTTCTAAGTTTCGTAGAGGCCTGAATGAAGAGATAGCAGACAGGATAGCTGGAGCTGCATCCAGATACTTTGGCACATTGATTCAGCAGTGTCGTGACATAGAGGATGTGTGTGTGGTCAGCAAGGCTAAAAAAGCCAAGGTATCTGAGGAAAAGGGAATTAGTGGTTCCTATCATGGGAAGGACAAGAGGTATGGCGGCAAGGGCAAGGGAAAACAGTTACAAGCCAGACAACCGTTCAACAAGTTCAAGAGGACTTCTACACCGCAGAGGGGTTTTACCATACCTCATTCTTCTCCTAGATGTGCAAGATGCGGGAAAGAGCATGTGGGACGTTGTGCCACTAGTGAGCTGCTATGTTACAAGTGTGGAAAGAGTGGCCATCTAGCCAAGAATTGCTATACATTAGTTGCTCGGGCTGTAGTTGCCCAAGCTACACCACTACAGATGATTTCAGCACCCTGTACCGCACCACCTGCTGCACCACCAGTTATGGGTCGAGTGTATACCTTAGACCGCCGGCAGTCGCATAGAGATCCGAACCATGTGAGAGGTACCATTTCCATTGGTGGTTGTTTCGTAGATGTGTTGTTTGATTCTGGTGCTATGCATTCTTTTATTACAGACCTGATTGCTGTGGGGCTTAAGTTGCCCATTTCTGTGCTTTCTCCACCTTTACGGGTTACTACTACCACTAGAGAGAAATGCGACGCTTCATCTATTTATCGAGATGTGGCATTTCAATTGAATGGTAGAGATTATTTAGCAGATCTCATTTGCCTACCCAGGGTCAACCTTGAGACCATTTTGGGTATAGATTGGCAGTCCAGAAATTTTGTGATGATTGATTGTTTTGCAAAGCAAGTGGTGATGTCTCATTGTGATAACACTACCAGTTCTTTTCCTTATTTATCAGTGCTTCAGGCTAGGAGAGCCTTAAGAGCAGGGGCATATAGCTATGTCATGTTGGAAGATTTGGTGAGTGGGACACAAGGGGATATTACTGACATTACTGTGGTGAGGGAATTCCTTGAGGTGTTTCCCGAGGAGATTCCTGAGTTTCTGTCACATCGGGAGATAGAGTTCTCCATTGATCTTTTGCCTTGTGTGGGGCCTATTTCATTAGCTCCATACCGGATATCTCCACATGATTTAGCGAAATTGAAAAAGCATATTGAGGACCTTTCTGCGAAGAACTTCATCTGACATAGTGTGTCTCCGTGGGGAGCACCGGTGATGCTCACCGGCAAGTGTACCGATCGCACAAGTAATATAATGATAAGAAAAGTATCGTCTCCACAAGGATTGTGATCGAATATCAAATAATCGTTCCTTTTAAGACGGAAAGAATTCAAATAGATGTGAAAAATATTGTGGATTTGAGTAACAATAAGAACTAAGATAAAAACGTATTTTTGGATTTTTCTTATGAAAAATAAAACAGAGATTGATTTTATAAAATGTAAAAAGGCATTGTAACTAGAGTGCACTCACCATATGATCCCACCTTTTACTCTTGATTGATTTAAAATACTCATTTAAATAAATACTCGGATAATTTATCATCTAAAAATATTAAATAGCTAACCCTCAATTCCTTGCAAGGTTAACCCTTTAACCCCAATTGGAACCCCAATTCCTTGCAATGTTCCTCATAGAATTAAGCAATGAACGCGATAAATTAAAACATCTGCAATAATATATACATCTATTCCTAGCACGCATACAAATTGTTATCCTACTCCCTTTCAAGATCAAAAACCTCAATATTCCTATCTAGGGTTCTTACCCTCAAACTATCATCAACTATTAGATTGATCAATTCTAACAAAGAAGATAGAAATTACGCACAGAGTAGAGATAAATATAAATATATAAAAGAGTAATTATAAATCAATCCGTTGTGACAAGGGTTCACATAGGGTTTGTGACCCTAACTACAATAAAGAAAATTAGCCAGCCATAGACATGGCTGACATAAAGTTATAAAAGATAAAGATGAAAGAATGTAATTACAAAGAGAAACTAAGAACAATCCTCTGCTCTTCTCCTCCTTCTGGAATCATTATTTTCCTCCGTCGTCAAAAAGTCCCTCTGAAAAAGCCCTCACAGTGTCCTTTTATAATCCTCTCTCGCTTCTTCCAAAATTTCCCTTCAAAAGCACGGTGATGTTATTTCCCGCAAACTGGAGCGAGATCGCGCCACTATGGCGCGGGATTACGCCACTTCTCTGGAAAATGGCCCCGGGGGAACTGGTGCAGCTCAGAACCAACACCCGTGCGGATTCGTGCCAACAAGCTTTTAAAATTTCGTTTTCTCCTTCTTTCTCCCTATATAAACATAACAAATAGGTGAGAAATATCATTGAAATGGAAAATTCAATATAATAAGCAAATATGTATATAAACTGCTCTTTTATGACTTAATCCTTATCATTTTTAGCTTGGAAAACTACATATGCCAGAGGCACATCAAATCATTCCCAGATTTAAACGTTGTTTTCCCCAACAATGTACAAGACTCAACCCAGAAGACAAACAATTAATCCAGCATAACAATACATAGACATTCTCAGACACAATATACTAAGTATGACTAATCCAATGTCACAAAATTCCAACAATGTCATCAGCTTCTTAAAGATACAAGTCTACATTGATTACCCCTCACAAAGATAAATAATATTCACACAACACTCAGTGTTTTAGGGTATCATGAGCACTCAATCCAACACAGCTATAACACTACCATAAGTTTGATCATATTCTCAAAATTCTTAAAAATGAATAATCAAACACATGCACCAGTTGATCAAAAGGACTTCACAGGTTGTATCTTGGCCAGGTTAAAAGGGTTGGAATATATGGATAGTAGCTCAAACAACAATGAGATTGAAAAACTGATACTCTTTCAATTTAGCATATTCAACTCAATGGTTTTGCTCCACTAACATTTCCACAGAATTTCGGGAATTAATTCCTTTCACCCACCTTTTATGCATATTTGTCCCTTCTTCTTTTTTCTTTTTTTATAAGGGTGCAAATAAATATACATCCCCTAATCACTTAACCTTTTGTGGAGCTTACCTCAATTTCTTTGTTTATTTTCAACACATCAGTAATTCAATCTCAATCAGGGTAAGTCACATGGATATAAGCTAAGCCATCAATCAGGCCAACAGGTCATTTATCAACAAAATAAGCTCAGGCTCAAAGGGCTAACAATGGGAAATTTCATACGGGTGGGCTATTTTGGCCATAGGCTAATAAGAACAAAATGCCTTTATCATCTGAACCAATGCATGCATTACAGAGAAACAAATCAAGTTCTAAAGTGTTACAACAGTGAGGTCTCTCAACAAGAAAATTCAGTGTTTAAGCTCAAACCTCACAGCTATGGTATCAATATAGACTCATGAAAATTAACCTCAAACATTATAAGAATTTCACAACATCAGTTCAGACAACAAGCAATCATGTAATCCAATTATACCTATGTAATGTCATGCCAGAATGTCATACAACATACTTCCTAAAATTCAATCAAGCAAGTAACTGGGTAAGCACATTTAAACCTGAGAATTGCTTCAGAATGTAATCCAATTTTTTTTTTTAATTTTTATGAGCAAAAACAATCAAAATACTAAGAAAAATAAAAATAAAAACAGGTTAGAATATCTCCCCAGATATAAAGTGCATTTCCACTCCTGCGACTATCCTGCATGACAATGCTTCCCCATTCCCAGATTTAGAAAATTGTTGTCCCCAGCAATAACTAAATCCAAGACTTATCACAACTGCACAATGGAACAACCAGCATAGGATGGATAATAGTATGAGCAGCACAATATCAGAGTATGAGGACATATACAAACCAAAAGATAGTCTAAGTGACCATAACATCAACCTATGGTCATAATAAAACAGCAAAAGTTCTGAAAAGATAAACTAAAATACTGAAAATAAGACAATCTCCAACAGTAAGGATATATAATCAATCCTCCATGTCATCCCCTCAGCAGCATGGGATGACTCAGCAAATGGAGGAACTGGTGGTTTCCTGGGCCTCCGCAGAACAAAACTGGAAATCATCAAAAGATGCAGAAGCAGAAGTCTTAGCCCTTTTGGTACCGCCAGTTTTTTTTTCTTAGACTTTCCAGCTTGTGAACCCTGAAAACCAGAAAAATTTCCCAATGCACAGAATATGACCATAGGGCAATTAGATCACAAGTAATCAAGCCGGAAGTATATAGCAAACCACCATTCCCAGATTTGATTCCAACTTTATCTCAAAAATAAAACAGAACAAAGCAACAGTTGGAATCAAATTTAGAAAATAATATGTCAATGCATCTTAGCATACAACTCAGCATTTTAATCCAGATAGTCAACAAAGCAAGAGGTTCAAAGGAAACAAATAACTAACTAGAAAATAAAATAAATAAATAAACTCTACATTGGGTTGCCTCCCAATGAGCGCTTGTTTAACGTCACGAGCCTGATGGTTACCTCTTTCAAGTATTGTTTTCTTGGAGAGACAGAGTCCTGGTGTCTCTCTCACAGGTCCTCATTTTTGCGGCATTCAAACTCTGGTAATCCACGCACATCCTCCCACCAGTAATAATTCTGGTCAGAATTAGTTCATTTTTTTCGTTGTGGACCGCAGTGACGCCTCCCTTCTTCGGAACAGTCTTCACTGGACTTACCCAACCTGTAAGAACCCGCACCGTTAATTAAGGAAGTTAATTAATTAATTATGTGAAATCAGGAAATAATTCCATAATTGACCCGAATAATTATTAAGACGCTTAAATAAATATAGAAAGTGGTTAATAATGCTGAAAGTCACTTTTCGGACGAAAAGTGCAGATACCGATTCTGCTACTCGGTATAAATGCATACCGATAAAGTATCCCAGAAAATTATAATAAATACATGAATATTCCTAGAATAATATATAGGACTTTTAAAACGAGTTTCAAGTTAAAATAATGAGATCTGGTGCCAGAACTGATACTGGCTATGAAAAAGCACATACCGGAAATGTGCTGCGAAAAATAAAATAAAAATATGAAAAATCTTAGAAAAATGAGTAGGTTCAGATTCCAAAGTTTGGTATCAAAATACTAAGCGTAGCTATTAGTGCTAATATTGTGTGATTAACTTTAAACCGGTAATAAATAGCCACTTACACACAACCCTAGGCTGATCCTCAGCCATTTGTATGTGGGTTGGTGTGTGCTGGTCAGCCTCCATTGTTCCCTGCCTTCTCTTCACTATTTTGAGACCAAGTTGTCACCTTTTACTTGTTTTTCCTCTTCTTTCACCTTGTAAACACGTGAGTGGGTGTCTTATGAGGGTGAGGTTCAGTTTTACTGAGTTGAGGGTACTGTTTGGGGAAGAGTTTTGGGGCTGAGTTCCTTGCTTGGGTGGTTGGAGCTTTGTCTTGGTTGTGGGAGCTCCAAGTGGTCATCTTTGGGAAGAAAGGACCCACCTTGTAGTGCATTTTCGTGCACCATCTTAGCCTGAGTATTTGAGGCTGTGTGGTGAGCTTCAAGAGCCATTGTTGTTCTGTTTTGAGCTTGGGTAAGTGTCACCAACCTTGATCTTGAGTTTTCTTAGTTAAAAATGAAGCCTTGATGCATGTAATGGGCTAAAGATCATAACTTAACGTTGGGTAATGTTAAACACACCATTAAATGCATGTTTAAGCTTCTGGAATCATGAAATGAGTCACCTTTGGGAAGGATATCTCACGAAATGCAGAACTGCATTCTGTCCCAAAATATCCGAATATGATATCCGCATATGGGATATCCGGATATGGGGTCTTCTTATATCTGAATATGGATATCCGGATATGTCCCCAACAAATATCCGGATATTCTGGGTTTTCGAAGAACAGTAGCTGCACTGTTCATACAGAAGGCCATTGGGGGTTAGTTGACCCTAGATTGATGGAGTTGAACTTCTGTAATAATTAAACTAAGTCAGAATCAAGTGATTAAGAGCTTGTGGCTTTGTGAGAAGCCTTAAGACGTAAAACGTAAAAGAGAAGTGTTGTCTTTATGTATAAGCTTATGTACTATGATTATTGATGATAAACTATGATACAAACAGATTGTGATTGTGCTGTTTGTGGGCCTTGAGCGGTGTGTGGACTTTTGGCATTGGATAGTTAGCTTGCAAGGTAAGCTTTCGTGTCCTCGGTTTAGCCATTGTTTGTTCCACCATGTCCTATGGGGGGGATGGTTTATATGCATGATGTGTTTTCATGTACTGTTTTATTGAAATGCTATGGAGTTGTTAAGTGAAAATGTTTTATGATATGTATGTGGTGTGACGCCTACACAGGAGGCCATGGGGCGATCCTGTTGGCGAATACAGCATGGGCTGGTACAACATGGGCTGATACTGTGTGGGTAATAGACGTATTCCTACACTTCTCTGATCAGTAGAATAGTTATAACACACATGACATGAATATCTGTTGCATGGCACTAATTTTGTAACTGATTTTGGAACTAATATTGAAGTACTGCTTTCAGAACTTATATTGCACATGTAAGTGAGCTTGGGGTGGAAGATCCTTGAGGACCCCTTGTCTTACTGAGATTTCTTGTTTAGAGATCTCACCCCACGTTTGGGGGCGCTTATTTCAGGTTCAGGTAATATGGGGGCTGATGCCTCTAGCGGCAGGAGGCCAGAGCTTAGCTGATGATATTGCTGTTATATTTATGCTGATATGTCTGGATTGGATGCTGTTTATGTTTTCCGCCATATTATTATGCTATTGATGTTGAGACTTATGTTGGGCTTGATTCCTTATTTGGGTGAGCATGGGGTTTGTCCATGCCACTTTATGTTAGTTCCTTGAGTTGAGTTGTATAACTTAGTAGGTTGTCCGGTCTACGTGTTGTAGTTCCGTGACTAGAGACGTACTTATGTTATTTATTTAATGAGGTATTTCAGTTAGTTGTTTATTTGCAATTTACATACAGGCAATGTTTTGAAAATGAATTAAGTATTCAACTTGGCTAAGTATAATGACGTCACAATTGAAAAGAAAAAGATATTTCGCAATTTTAATTAAGCGCAGCTTAATATGATATGATATGATAACACTACCGGATATATACTGGGTGTTACACAACCAGTATATGAAATCGGGTAAATCATACCAGCATCAAGAAGCTTCACCACTTCCTTTCTCACCACCTCTTTCATTGTAGGATTAAGCCTCCTTTGAGGTTGCCTCACAGGTTTGACATCATCCTCCATGAGAATTTTGTGGGTACAAAAAGAA